AAGTTTCAGTCTTTCCATTTACTGAAACCATCTAAGAATCCTTTTAACTCCTGTCTAGGATTATACCAATCCAAAGCAAATGTACTGCAGCACTAAACACTTGTTTTATCACAAGCACATACTCTTTCTTTTTTTTTTTTTTTTTAAGAGTAGGAAAACTCAGTAGCAATTCTGGAGCAACTATTGTTTATATGAAGTTAGATGATTATTTCATTTGATAAACAAAAATAATACTTTGTAAGCTATATATGCACGTACTGATTTTTATTTTTCCAATTAAACTCAATTAAAACTTAAATTCAGATGAAAATATACAGAAATTTACTGTCATTTCAGACACCCTACAGTATCTGAGACATTTTCCTGGGGAGATGAGAGAAATGACATAGGACACACAGGACATCCAGTCTCTTCTGGATCAGGATCTCAAATTGCACTAGACATCCATGTTCCAGGGAGCAAGTTGAGCCCTGAATGACTCCTGATAAAGAGCAAAAATACTTTATGTAACTAAGTTTCAGTGAGGATATTTTCAAAAATTTTCCGACAGTATTCTACTGTTTATTTGAGGCTAAACCTTACTATTTTCAAATTCATTAATAGTTTGGTCATGGTCTTCAATGAGAATTAGACTAAATTCATAGATTAACAGCCTACACTTCCGTATATCTTTTTTTCATAGCTTGCTGCTGCATGTTTGAAAAAAAAAAAAATTAGGGACATATTATTGCTAGATCATTTCTACAGATGCAGCTAGGCAAATTAAGAGATGCCTAGCAAGCAGTTCTCCAAGGGTACACAACTCTAAGCATTCCCAGTAGCGAAGAAAGAGGAAATGAAATCTTTAAAACAAACCACTCGTATTTTAATTATCTTCTTGCAATAAAAGAAATGGAACTCCTTACACAATGGGTGGTAACTTATTAAACTTTGCCCAGATACCTAGGATTCTAGCATGGAACAGGCCTTTGAGTTTGGATGGGAAGAACTGTAAAAGGCACTCAAGCAACAAACAAGCCATGGCTAAGCAAAGTGGGGATAGGTGCTATCCCTGGAAGAGAGGCACTTCACTCAGCACCAATTCAGTGGTGATCAATGTAAAGCCAACCAGGACAGCAGCTGCACCTCCCAATGGGTATGTTTCCAGACAGGATTCCTAGAGGTCATAGTAGACATCTCCATCAAAACTACAGTGCCAGGTAGAGAAGGAAATCAAAACCAAAGGAAACCATGAATTACCAAAGGGACAACAGTGGCCTATTACTGTTACTACCATATCCCAGAAAACAATGAAGATTTTCCTGAGTATGGTAACAACAAAACTCTACAGGAAACCGCTGAAGAGATTTTTCCCCAAAATCTTCTCTTCACAGACACACGTAAGGTCAAAACAGTACCTTCATTCCTAAAAGTGTTATTGAAGTACTTGGAGAAGTCAAAGCTCTAACTGAAATTGAAAGATCACAGTCTTTTTACAAGTTCAAAGCACTGAGTAAGCAGCCTTGTATTACATAGGGTTTTTTTTTCATTTAGATGTTGGCTGGTTTGGGATTTTTTGATAGTGGAAAAGAATTTACATCAAACAACTCATTTGACTAGATCTTATGCTGTTAATTGGTTTAACTGTGCACTTTGTCTACAAGATCTCACATTAGTATTTTTAATTATTTAAAACACATTAAATATTGCTGGTACCAGCATGATCTGAGATTACTTCTTAATGATCACTCTTGTTTGAGGGTAAAGCATTTGATTCCAGCTGCTATGAACTTTTAAACAAGCAAAAGCAACATTTGCTGACATAAAGAGACAATCCACTTCATAAAGGAATGATGATCAAATTAAGCTGCATATGCCCAACAAAACAATACTATTTTATACTAGACACTTCATAACATTTAATAAAATTAATTTGCTTGACAAAAGTTTGAATTGTTGTGTTTTACTATATTATTCTGATTTATATGCTGTTATCACAAACGTCCACATTTTCCTTTACTCCAGTTATTTTTTCATTAGTTTATATTCCTAGCTTCTAACCCACATGGAAGCTACCTAGATTGCTTCTATATTTGGACCACAGCAAATAATAAGATCTAAATATATCACTGTTAATACATCTCTAGAAGAATTAATGGGACAACATCACCACTGAAATCAACCAACCTTCTAAATCAATATTTGACACAGACTGATTTAGGAAGGAAAATGCTAATTCAGTCTCTAACATAGGGAATAGTTTTGTTGCAATCACAAGTAAGCAATGATCGGAAAAAAACCACATTTTAAGGAACAAAAAAGCTAAAATCATAGAATCATAGAATCAGTCAGGTTGGAAAGGATCTCTGAGATCATCAAGTCCAACACTCGATCCAACACCACCACAGTTACTAGACCATGGCACTGAGTGCTACATCCAGTCTCATTTTAAAAACCTCCAGGGACAGAGAATCCACCACCTCCCTGGGCAGCCCATTCCAATGCCTGATCACCCTCTCTGTAAAGAATTTCTTCCTAATATCTAACCTAAACCTCCCCTGGCAAAGCTTAAGACCATGCCCTCTTGTCTCACTGATAGCTGCCTGGGAGAAGAGACCAACTCCCACCTGGCTACAACCTCCTTTCAGGTAGTTGTAGAGAGTGATGAGGTCACCCCTGAGCCTCCTCTTTTCCAGGCTTAACAACTCCAGCTCCCTCAACCTCTCCTCACAGGACTTGTGTTGAAGTCCCTTCACCAGCCTGGTTGCTCTTCTCCGGACTTGCTCCAGCACCTCAATATCCTTCCCAAACTGAGGGGCCCAGAGCTGAACACAGTGCAGTCATGCTGATTTCCTTCCCTGTCACCAAATGTGTCTCCTGGAATCAAACTGTACCTGAAGCTCTCATTTCCCAAAAAAAAAGAAAGAAGTTTAAAGGACTGAAGTTTACCAAGAGAAGCTTGAAAACATAATCTAACACCACACTTTTGACTTCTAGTGGAAAGTGTCTGAATTTATGTGATTACTTATGTCTAGGAATTGACTTTTAGTGTTTGAATGCTTGAGATTGGCAATGCTAAAATTAAAAGCCACTCAATGGTATAAAAACTCATCAATGTATTGAGCTGTGAACAGAGACACAGAGACCCAAAGAATGCTAACTGGCAAAAAGATGGCCTGAAGCACCCATCCATCCCCCTTCAGTGACCAAGCATAAGAATACTGCAGATAGACCCAAGGACTAAGAGGATAATTAAATTGTGTTTGCTTTCTCTTTACCAAATGGCACACACAAGAAGATGAATTTGAGTCAGAGAATTTGCAAGGGACAGACTGCTCCTCACCTTGCCAATAAATTGAGTAGTTGTACTGTACATGATCCATCACTCTAAGCACAGACTCATTGCTTCTTTTCCATCTTTGGACAATAACATACCTAATGCAGCCAAGAAGTGTAGGACTGCATCCCGATGACCTGAGTCAGGATAACCAAGCAAAGGGTTGACTTCTTGCTTTGGCCAGATTTATTCATTTACACTACAGTCACCTCTACCCAATAAGGAGACAACTGTTCTCCAATAAATAAATAAACGCCAAAATAGTCTGAAAGATCTTTCCCATCTTGCGGTGCTTTAACTCATATATCTGACAGCATATCAGCCAGTGAGCAGAGAAAAGCTGCCACATCATCACTAGGACTTGGTTTCACAGCTTGCTCTCAGGTAACTCTTGATTATATTTGAAAAACAAATGTAAGTTTTTACCTCTGCATTTATACCAATTCCAAGATAATTGAATAAAAGCTCTTCCCACCCACTTCCAGAAGAGAAAGAGTACAAACTGCAGACTAACTAGAACTAAAAAGTATTTATGAAATGCCTTCAGTAAGTGCCACTGGCAATACAAACCTTCTCAGAGAGGACTTGAAATCCTATGCAGCAATAATATTAGGACTCAATTATTTTCCCAATTTACTATCATGTAAATGTGGCCTTCAAAATCTATTTCTCAGAGAGAGAATAAAATTTCTGAATCTGGATTGGAATTTATCAGTTGGCAATTCCTAAAAGATCATCACCTGGCCTGCATTCAACACAGCCTAATGCAGCAACCTGCAGATATATAAAGTAGTTTCTCAACATGTTATTCACACAAAATATTACATCAACAATACTGCTCCTGCGTGGTTTGCTACTTTGTTCAGAGTTATGTGAGTACCTCTACACAGTCAACTTGTATGACCTAATAATATGTTTATATGGAAGGTTTCATCCCTTCTGTAAAATATTATATTTCTTCTTCCTACCACCAGAGTCATAAAAACATTTGAGCTACTACCACCACCTTCTGGCCTACTTGGTTCCAGAGGAACCATGTAACCAAGAAACTCTCCATGAAGTTTGAAGATTCCTGAAGACAGATTTCCACTCCACACTGGGAATAACTAAGAAAACAGTTCAGCTTTAGCCATGACTTTTATTACCACCTCATCAGCTCCATTTCTAGGATGAGTCAGTCTACCTTTATCTTTTAAGACTAGAGGCTTTTTTTTGGGACACTGCTGCAGTTGCACTGAAACCACAAAAAAGTTGCAAAAAAGTCAGTGTGAGTTATCAGCTACTCAGATACTCAGACACTGCTCAATCACAAAACCTACGTGTCAGAATAAAGTAAAAATGGAACACTGATTTTGGGATTTGGTGCCATTTAACAATAACTACTTAAAAACCCCTGAAATCCATCCTTCAGCTGCACGACCAGAAATGCTCTTCTTGTCTGAGTATTGCCTGCCTATCACTTTATACAGTAATGTTAGACTGAAAAAATGCTAAGAACACAAAATAATATGAAAATAACTTCTATGTACTCGGTAACACTCTCATTAAGTACTAAAAGAAGAGTCTTGTTTTGTTTCGTTACAGAATATTTGAAAGGATTCTTTCCTTTAGCTAAATACAACATTTTAAGTGACTGCAAGATTGTTAACACTCAGAAATACATAGGAAATGTTCTTGGAAATACCTTGGAGAGATACAAAAGACTCACAGCAGTATTGAATGCAGTAGTTGAAGATTTTCACCCTTGTCTGAGGTTGGAGTTGGTTAAAATCATTCCCTTTCTTTTCCTGAGATCTTCCAAAGACTGAAAAGAGGAAAATATGAAATGTAATTGAAATTTATCCCAGGTTCACAAACAATGTTTTTCAGTATTTGAAAATTACTTGCTTCTTTTGTTCACAGTCTCTTCTGCCTTTGTAAACCATGAATAGCAGCCCATCTTTTATTTGTTTTCAGTTTCTCATAGAACCAGTTTGTTATGACTGCTCTCTCCTACACAAAAGCTGATCAGGCTTTCCAAACACCCTTCTGTTTATTTATGGCAAGCTGCAGTGAAAACATTTGCTTACTACAATTTAGTGCAAGAATTTGGTAAATAAAACCACTAATTTAACTCCTTTTACCCCTTATTATATGTAAGAAAACTAAATACTTACAGTCAACATGCCTTTCTCTAGTCTACATATATTCACTACAGGGCAAAGCAACTTTCTCTTCTTTCAAGACAGAATGGGTACAAGTTCAGAAGCAATGCTGATTTCTATACTTCTTTCTCTTGCCTGACCTGGTTTAAGGGTGTAAGAGAGAATTCTGTGGGGTGTCTTTTTAATTTTTAGCAGGGGTTGGTTTATTTTATTGGTTTGGGTTTTTTTACTTAAAGCTCTAAGAGACATGACTGGTGATCCAATCCACAGTACACTTCCACAAACAGTGATGCCAGCAAAACATAAGAGCAATAAGCTGCAGAAGGAGGGCAGACAGATCATGTGTACCTCAAGCCATTATTGCTGCAGAACATCTCGTGTCAAAACATGATAGAAAGGTGAGGAGAGACTGATCCACAACTTGCACTTAGTTGACAACTATCTATCCAAAGTGCACAAGGTGTCATAAACCCATTAGATGGAATTTTCTGATAAAGTCTGTTTCTTCTGACAGTTTTCAAATGTATCAGAGACAAACAGGTGGAAAATAATCCTGAGAAGAGATAGCTGGATGCTTTTGTCCCTTCAAATAGCAGATCCTGAATTTACAGCTCAAGATTTTCTTCAACCTTTCCCCATCCTCCTTAGACTGAGACACAACACTTATTTGGAAAAAAACTGCTGTTTCAAGGAAAAATGCCTAAAATTAAGATTTTAAATAATTTTTAATCTCTGACCTTTAATTATCAGCAAAAACTGAATTAGAAAAGGAACAAACAAGTGTTTAGACTTCTGCATCTTCTGCAGGTCTAAGCAAAAGAAACACTTCTGTCTGGAAGTCTTGCACTTTTTTTCTTCCTTCCCAGACTACATCATCTAGCTCAGAAAACAAAACAGAAAACCACCAACAAGTGACAACCATCACCCAAACAAACAATAAAACCCCACCTTTTTCTCTTATATCTTTAGATCACCATAGCTATACTACCACTTCTTTTTTCCTTCTTCTTTTAGGTGTTCGAAGCTTGGTCTGGTTTGCTATGGGCTCCTTGGCGATCTCCCTCACTACTCAGGCCAAAGAATAAATACATCAGGAGCTAAACACACAGCCTACGACAATTCATTCCTTGGGTTTCCAACAACAATTGTCAATATTCACAGTGCACAGGCCAGTGAGAGGATAAAACGTAGAAACACCGTGTAATTCACTGAAGCAATCTATGCCATTGAAGAAGCTTCAAGTTCCCTTCCCTTGTATGACCCATGCTCTGCCACAAATTATTGCCCCAGAGTACAGGTGACACTCATGTTACCACCATCCCATTGGCATTATGGTACAAACCTACGCTGACATCCCATGACAGTGCCTACAGTCAGATAAAATGAAGGCACTTGTTCTACTCCTCCAGCTCTGTTTTATGAGCAGAGGGAGGTGGAAAGCTGGAGGGAGGTATTTACATCTTAAAATGCCACAAATGTCAACTGACAAGGTTCAGTTACTAGAGCCTCAATTCTCTTCACTTATCCAGCAACACTACTAAAAATCAATGCAAGTCCATAGTGCACAAATTAGTTCTAATTAGTAAGGACATTAAATTCAAACAGCCTGTCTAGCAGCTTTCCCTCCTTTAAGGTAAGAGTTCCACTATGCCAGATTTGGAATCCTGGGGAAATGTGAACAGCTGCAAGGAGTAAAATTTACGCTAGTTTTGTGTGACTTATTCTCATCTGCTTCCATTTGCATCCGAAGATGTGAAGCATGGAATCTGACTCCACTACGCATGATGGACCTGATTAAAAGGTTTTAAAGAAACTGAACAGGCCTAATTAAAGAAAAAAAAAGAAAAAAAATGAAATTGCACGCTTCAAACTGAATATATACTTCAGGGTCCAGTCGCACTTTTCCAGGAGAGCTTCCTGTGTTACATGGCCCTGGCTACAGAAACATTTAGGAACTGACTTGCTCTCGAATGCTGACTTCCTATTTCTGTTCCACCTCCACTCATAGTTATCTTCCCTAAGTAAGCAAGCAAAGCACATCCAGTCCTCCCATTTACCTTTCAGCAAAACCTACGCTTTTGCACCTCTGCGATTCTGTTTGGAGGATGGAGCACATACATGAAAACAAATAGACAAGACTTCACATTTGCATCGCCATCATTCCATTTCCTATGCACTTTCTCAACAAGCAAATATAGCAGCTGCATTTGTATGCAAAAGTCACCCCAAAACCCAGGAGATCGTGAGTGTACTTTAATGTAACCTCACTGAGGATGGGAAGCTCAGCGCAGCAGGGGTATGGCACACTCTCCAGTGCACTCTGCAGTGCTGATGCAATAAGACCCTGCCAGAAAGGAGTTCTGTTCCTTCCTGTTTGTTTGCCTGAGTTTTCTACTGAAAGAGAAAAAGAAGAAAAGGAAGTTCAGCTAAGGAACATACCAAACCCACAAAACAGGTACTGTTATCCCTACTAAAGAAGTCAGCACTTCAGTTCAGCCTTTTGCTCAAGATCTCTGTTTTGATCTCCACAGTTCACTAAAGTCAAAGTCCCAGTTCTGTTCTGAAAACATCCCCTCAGTTCTTTCTTTTTTGTTGTTTTATGCAACTAATATATAGGTCACTGACTGAAAGGGGTCTTTCAAAATTAAATATAACAAAGAAAAGAGGAAAACCACAGAAGATGTACCCCTTCAAATGGAGAATATTACGATGGTCTATTACTGCTTTAAAGGCATAATTTAAAAATCTGTATTAGATCGGAAAAAATATTATTCAAGCCATGCTCTTCTTATAAATGTAGCTGTTGGAAAAAAAGATATTAATACCAATTTCAGATAATTTTAAAAATAAATCTGGGAAGAATACATTCCACATATCCTGATGACATTTCTTCAACGACAGGTTTTTATCAGTTCTGTCTTGATAAATCAGGTAGAGGTACAATTTAGCTTATAAAGGGCAGTAGCCCTTTTACTTTATTTAACCTGAAGTGAAACCTGATGGAAAATGTTTCAGACATAATAAGGCCATAAGCTTGCTCACATCCTCTTCAAAATTTCTTATTCATCTAAGTCATGCTGTTTTCACTTAAACAATGATTAAAAAAAAACAAAACCAAACACACAGGATAGAAATCAAGTCTTATCAACACTGCAGAAATGAAACTCAGCCACTTTTGGATATGATACCCTCAAAACAAAAGCCCCCTGTCATCCAAACTACTGATGCAAAGAATTTTTTTCAAGCAGTTTCTTACTGAAGAGTAGAATGAAAGGCTACTCTGGAGGCACAAGGGGTTGGAAAATTGGAAGATGTTAAAGTTCAGGCTATCAGGGGAAAAATACAGGATCTTAAGAGGCATTCAGTATAATCACAGCATTCAGGAAATACCAACAGTAAATTAGGCTGTAGCATTACAACATCTATACAGTCAAAACCCAACACTATACATATCATTCCTGTCAGGAAAAATAAAGACAGATGGTTACAGCAAAAGACAGTCTTCAGAACAACCATAACCTTCAAGTACTGATGAATCAAAATATTTACAATATTTATCCCCCAAAAAAGCTCATTCCCTATAATTACAGCTCTTCTAAACTGCTGCAGCATATTGCTACAGAAATTTTGGCAGAAAACATTCTCAATTTACATAACTGTTCAGAGTAGTCACCTAACTTAGGGAAAAATCATGCATTCCTAAGTATTATTGATGTTCTGGAACCTCTAATTTATTTTACTCAAAACTGTTTAAATATTTTATTGCTTTGTCATCACAGAGGAATCTCCAGCTGCTGATATCAAAGTCAGTAGCTTCAAACAGGCATCAGTGCGACTGGAATTTGCATGGCATTCACTACTGGAATTTCACTTTTTGAAATTACATCTTTCATTCCTCAAGACAAAGGAAAAATGTATTTTAAAGGTTTAGCAACGTATGTAGGTGTATAAACCCCCTACTGCTACCCCAGTTCCCACAAGGTATCTGCCCATTGAGCAACTTAGCTGCCACTGACAGCATGAAACAGAAAACATATTCTAATTCAGGTACCTTGTCTGCGCAAAACTTTTTCCCTAGGAAAGAAGTCAAACATTGCAGGTCTGGTAATGGGCTTCAGAGTCAAATCTTAGCTATTTCCAAGTTTTTCCACAGTTAAAAGTGCAACTAAAACACAAGTCTGATAAAATCTTGACAAAACATTTTTGCAATCCCACTTGGACAGTTTACTCAGTAGTCAATAGCACAAATATCCATAGCCCACGAATGATGGAAATGGCAAAAGTCTGTGGCCTAGAACCCAGACTAACACATGCCAGAACCTGCTACAGCTCCCTTCTGGCATACAGTAGACATTTCCCTTTCTATAACAATCAGGCAGATTCAGGATGGCTGGTCCATGTGGGAGCACCCAGAAGCAGGAATTTCAAGGATCTCCTGGTCTCCCAGTTTCAGTTGCCACACTCTTCATTTTCTTCTCTTGAAACTACCACCTAGAGTTGCCTCTTGTCCCCAGAATTTCTTCAGACTTAGCAGGAATACCCCTTAAAAATGCTGTCCTAAGCATGTTTCTTCTAAAATTGAAGGTTCTAACTGTTCAAAGCCAAAAACTCAGTCAGGGGTAAAACCCACATGAGCCAAAATGTTTTAAAAAATAATTAATTAAAAAAAATTGTGCACAAGATCCTGTGAAAAATTTCAACTTTTTACTCATTTTTAGTAATCAGAATTTTATAGAAAAACTTAAAAAATGTCTTGGAAATAAAAGCATCCCATTTACAAGTACACAGTATTGCAACACAGTATGCGTACAAAATGACAGAAGAGCAGACCTCGTTTTATCTCATAAGTGGTCAAAAGGCCAATTAAGTCAGAACGGAAATAAGTGAAGGTTTAGAAATCACTATGTCAAGGATCCTATGTCTTTTACTATTAAGTATAAATGTCAGATAATTCAAGAAATTGAGGGGATATACCACCACTACCAGTTAGTAATTTTTTGTGGGGAATAAACAGTTAAAAAATTAAATATCAGGTTTTTAAGAATTTACTAATTTCTTAGGAAAATTCCTGTAATTTTCAGCTTTTTGCCACTGCTCCTCTATCTCCAAAGAAGAGACATACAAATATTTGAACACAAGATTCGCCTACGTGCCCTGTAATCGATTCTTAAGTAATTTAAGTCCTCAGAGCACAGAACACACTGGCAAGTATCATATGAAAATCTTAGACAGATGAGAAGCAAGAAGGATAATTTCTTTTCAATAAAAGAATCAAAATGAGACAACTATGCGGCTACAGTAGGAAAGTGTAATTACAGTGGATGATATTTTTGTTTGGCTAGTTTTTCCTGATAATTCTGTCAACTGTTCTCACCCAAGAGATTAAATTAATTTCATTTTTGATTTAATCCAATTCCCATTTCTAGTTCAATTTATAATCATCACTTCCCCATACTAGTGTGGTATTAAATTACTGTCATTCTTGGCCATTAAGTTAATCATATTCCAGTCAGCAGAGATGATCAAACACCACAGTAGTGCCATGAATTTCTTATTGAATACATTCCTTTTTGCTACATTGTAGAAGCTGATCATCAGTGTCAGAAGCTATGTTATACCAATTTCTGACTTTTCAGGCAGAAGCAATACATTCTGAATCAAAAATAGAGATAACAAAAAAGTCCTTTTTTTTTTTTTTAAATGAACAAAGCATTTTCTCTGGTCAAATCACACTTTCTTTAGTATATAAGTACCCACTGAAGAAATGCCCCATGCAAGTATAAATGTCCATCTGCTACTGATCTTCCAACCATACTTCTCCTTACTGTAAACTCAAAATGTACTACTCCTCTGAATAAAAAAGAGAGGAAAAAACAAAACCACCTTCCTTGATGTTAATCAAATTTCTTTTTATGTTCAAACTCAAATCCTGAGTCAAATTCACTTGCACATTTAGCAATACACAGACTTCTAACAAGTGTTTCCATCTAAATCACAGTTGTCCACGTCCTTCTTACACAGAAGAAGAATGGAAGAAAGACTAAAATTCCACTAGAAAATCCCAGGGAATCTCAAGTTTTCTATTTGAGGCAATATTCTACACTACTTGTTCAGGATCAATTTGAAGTTCAGTCACTTTCAAGCTTGCTTTCATAAAAATATATCCAGAAATTTAATTTCTGCATAGTCATCTTTACTTCTAGAATATTACATTGTTTTCTAACAGTAAAGACAGTGCTTAGTCTCATATTCTGTGTGGGTTTTACAACATGCTGAGCTACAAAGTGTGAAAGCAACACCTAAGTTTCCCTGTTGAAACTCCCTTCCTTAAAAACATTTGCTCTCACTTGGAATTGAATGCAAGGTATACCTGCCAACCAAAGTGGACCATTTTTGAAGAAACCCTCAGGCAACTTCTTACTCCCTTGAAATATTAGGAGTACAACTTTTCCCCATCTGCCAACTCATTAGCTGCCCAACGCACATTTCTCCATGCGTGCTTATACAGGACGTGACAGGAACTTTTGTTAAATAAAACACAGTATTTTTATAAACACTGTAGGCACCTAAAAAAAATAAATCTTATGCTTAAGAGGCATTAATTGGTACGACTGCATTATTTTTAGTGTCCTACTGAAGTGAGAGCTTATTATCCTCTAACAGTTTCTCAGAATACCCATACCTAGCTTAGTACTGCATACATAATAACCGTAAAGTGCTTTACAGATGCTGTCAAATAATTCACAATCTGAACAGCAGACAAAAGATTAAAGGAGTTTTTCTGGAATATTTTCAAAGTTAAGTCAAAATTTTTCTTTGATCATCTGTAAACTTGAACAACACAAAGAGATGTGACTGGGTAGCTATATATTGGTGGATTTTTAATCATCTGTACTTATTCAGCACATCACTGGATTTCTGTAGGATCTGCTTAAACAGAAAACACGGTTATTGGACAAAAACTCTAAACAACTGAACACGCCTCAGTGGTTTTACCCCTGCCAACTCCTTCATGCAGGCAGATCCTGGAATCAACAGGAATTGGCAAGGCTACAGTAATGTTTTACCCTATGTGCTACAGTTAACAGGATTCTGGCCTCTGGGTCTGCTCCTGATCTTTTCACGACTGAACAAATGCTGCCATGAACATTTACACAAATAACACTAACCTCAACTGGCTTCTGAAACATTTTTAAGATATTCTCCTAGCCATACAAAACTGGAAAAATTTATAACAAGCTTTAAAAAATGTAGTCACGCTATTTTGCTGAGATCAACGTCTGCAGTTTATCTCACCGTGCAGAGATCTAAACTGTAACTCCATTTCTTTCACATTTCATTGCAGTGCCTGGTGCCAAGCACGCTGCTTCCCAGTGTTTGGTGTGACAATTATGGATCAGGTGTCAGTCCGACTCCGCCGGAGTCAGCACAGGCGAGCCGGTCTCGCTCCACGGGCTGAATCCACCCTCCATCGATGGCCTGGGAAACTGGCTGCAGTGAGCCCTCTGCAACCTGCAGCATCGCTGGGACCCGAGATTTTTCGGTAGAAATGCTCCATATTGACCAAACAAGGACTTTCGTGCCGAGAACCGAATCTTTCTCCACCCTGTGCTACAACCACCTGAGCAGCATCTTTTAAATCCCGAGAGCCACAGATTTAACGTTCCAGCTACCAAGGTGCCTAGATCATTCCCAGCTGGGAGCTCTCGCACATCTAAGCACCGGAGCGCAGCAAAAGCTTGTTTTTGTCACTCGAGCGAGTAGCTTTAAGTCCGGATACATGAAGAGCGCAGCTCGCACCAAGTAACGAGACTCCTTCCAGCGCCCGTCTCGCGGCGGCAGAGCCATGTTTCATGGAGCCGCCACAACCCGAGCACTCGGAGCACGTCCCCGCATAACCCCGCGGGAAGCGGGACTCACGGCGCCCCGCAGCCCCCTCCCGGGGCTCCGGGTCATCCTCCCTCCCCCCGCGCTCCCCGCCGCCTCCCACGCGGAGCCGAGGGCCGGGGCAGCGCGGCCGGTACCCGGGGGCGCCCCGGCGGCCGGAGCTGCCGCTTGACCCGTCTCCCTGGCAACGCGGACACTCGCCCCCTTCCCTTCCCCATCACGGCCCCCCTTCCCCACGGCAGCGGTGCTGAGCGACCGGGGCAGCGAGGCGCGACGGGCGGCCGCCCCCCGCCCTCGCCCCGGTCCCGGTTAGGTAACACGGGCGGCGAAGCGCCGCCTCGGGCCCGGCCGCTCGCTCACCTCGCGGCAGGTGCCGGGGCCGCGCACGGCGGTGGCGGCGCCGCCTTTCCGCCCCGCTCCGCTCCGCTCCGCTCCACTCCGCTCCGCTCCGACGGCAGCGCCGGGACGAGCCCGAGGAAGCAGCTCCCGCGCCGCAGACCCGCCGTCCCGGCTGTGCCGCTCCGGTGCCCGAGCAGGAGGAGCTTACCCGCCCCGCCCAGTGCGCAGCGGCGGTCCGGGAGGGCCGCACCTGCCGGAGAAGGAGGAGGACGAGGAGGAGGAGGCGGGTCGGGCTGCGGGATCCCGCCGCCGGCTGTCGGTCGCTCCCGAGGTGTTGGAGGGCCGGCACTGCAGCCCGCCGTGCCCACGGGAGGCGAGGGCCGCCGACCTTCCCACTCGGCGGGTTCGCGGCCCTGCGGGAGGGCTGGAAGGAGAAGGCCTGGTTGAGAGCCCTTTAAGAAGCACTAAGTTTGAAGGCAGCGCACCTGGACAGTGCTGTAATACGTAGGAGAAAATACCATTCTGAGGACTGAGAAAAATAAAGCGGAGCAGCTTTAGTTTTGAGCAGAGTCTGCATCTTGCTGCTAGATTTTCTTAAGAGTCAGTTCCTGTTTTTTGATCTGTGAGTTAATCTACAAAACAGTAGATGCCAAAAATCTCTGCCTCCATCTCCTACATACCTCCTTGTTAAATTATACATCAGAGGAGTTCAAGCCTTTCTCATATGACAATTCCCTAAGACATTTTTCAGCACGTGGGCCTTCAGTTAAGCCTATTTACTGATATGAGCTGCCCTGCTGAAGGTATCTATGGACTGCATCTAGGAATAGCCCAATTCCTCATCTGCAGAGCAGACAGCTAAACTGGAAAATTGGTTCAGAGAGTGTGTGGTGCCAGATGCGGTATATGGAGTGTTTTGGATAGCAATGCAAAGCTTCCCCAAGTCAAGTGTCAAGCAGGCTGGTGCTGACGCAGTGCAATACCAGGCAGAGGCCCATTTCTGTTCCAAAACAGAGTCAGAAAGACAAGGCCAATGCTTCGTACCAGGGCCATTTAACTTACACGCAACACAAAATTGTTGTGGCTACAGTATCTTTCATTCCAGGGCTATTTTGATCAGTGTTAGCTTAAACATATCCACACCTTTCTGTACTGGGTAGTGTGTGGACATGACAAGGTAAGCAGTGAACAGAGTCTCCCGAAGACACTTCAGAGCTACTGTAACTAGGAGCTTGGCAGGAGCCTGAGTGCAGCACTGCAAGAAGCACAGTGCTGGTGGCTGAGGTGAGCAGAACGTGAGCAGAGGGCAGTTGGCTGGAGCTCAAGTGTCTGAAAAAGCATTATGGGGCAGTCAGTGCTTTGCCTCTTTCCCTGGCAGATTGGCCCTGAGACCCAGCATGTCTGTCCTGCACTTCAGGGAAGTGGTTACATGAAGAATGCAAAGGGCAAGAACATCTAGGTGGTGGTGTGGTGGAGGCTTTTAAATACTTTAGGATTTAAAACAAGTGACTGTTTTGTAGACTGTAGACTTTCAAGCAAGAAAAGAAACTATAGAGTATGCACTGGAGGAGTGGTGGACAACTGATATGTACAGGAGTGTAGTCACATTTTGGGTGAAGTTATTATAGGTACAGCTGTACAGTGATCATTTATGGCCAAACTGATATTGGAAAGATCTTCACAATTTAAGGAAAGCCCCAATGAAGAACATGCTTGGGAAGAGGATTTTCTTCCAGGTATGCAGAATCAAAGAATCACAGAATCGTTAAGGTTGGAAGGGACCTCTGGAGGTCATCCAGTCCTCTCCTCCTGCCAAGGCAGGGTCACCTAGAGCAGGTTACACAGGAACATGTTTGGCTGGGTTTTGAATGTCTCCAGAGAAGAAGACTCCATGACCTCTCCAGGCAGCCTATTCTAGTGCTCTGCCACCATCAATGTAAAGAAGTTCTTCCTCATGTTGAGGTGGAACTTCTTGTGTTTTAATTTATGGTTACTGCTCCTCACTCTGTTGCTGGGCACCACTGAAAAGAGTTTAGCAATACATTGTATTGAATATTAGAAAAAGTCACAGAGATTGAAACTGATTTTTATTCTTCTTTGTAAAATTTCCTCTTTTGAAAATATATAATGAAGAGCTTTTTGAACTTCTGAATCCTAATCCCAGTGCTGCAGATGTTTTGATGATCCCATAAACAAGACCCATAAGATGTAAATAGGAAAGGCTTAGAAGAAATAGCTGTACACAACAAAAATTAAGTCTATCAAATCTTGGAAAAAGGTGCAGCAAAAAGAACTGCTGCAGTTACTTACATGAATCATATTCCACTTGATCCTACTATTTTCCATTATCATCCATTTGAAAGTAGCGTGAGCAGATGACCAACAGCTTGTTAGAATTGGGAATATAAACTTGCAAGAAGTAAAACCACTACAGTTTGGGGCAGTTGATAAAAGAGCTTGTGAAGCTGGAAATACCAAGTAATCTGTTCTGACCCATGAAAGAGTTATTACTCCTCCTGTGGAAGAAGACATGGAGAATCTTAATAGAATCCTTCAAGACTCTCTTGGAGAACAACAAAGAATGTCAGTAACAGCAACAGTTTCTCCCACATCTATAAATCCTGAGGAAAAATTGAGCACAGTGGAGTATTCTTACAGAGCAAAGAACACAATGAAACCTGAAGTTAACCAGCAGCTGCCAAAAGGGCTATTATTAAGGAAGATACTGAAGAGACTGAGCAGTTAAAGGGAGACCTCACTGCTTCACAAGAGGAAAACAGAACCTACATTTTCATTGAAAATTCATGAAGCCCTTCAAGGAAAACTGACAGTTTGCGAAGAACAAGTTGCAGAATATATTGACATAATGAGCACCATGGAAAAAGAAGTGAAAACAATCACTGAACCATTCACAATTAATAAAAGTAATGAAACAATGAAAACAGATCTGCAGATCAAGGAGGAATTACTGAAAAAAAATCACAGACAGATCTGCAAGAAACCAAGATTCCTCTGGTTGAGAAAAAAAAAAAAGTGATTTCAATTTTGAATACACCAAAGAAAAACTTCATGATGCAGCTAGCCATTTGGTCTGCTAATACAAATGATGTATCCATGTAAAACTGTATCATAAGAAAACTGGTGATTGACACAATGCTATGCATTTTCAGGAGAAATTAATGTTCTGGTCAGTAAAATACAAGATTCAGTTAGTGAGAACTGTCTGAAGCAGCAACAGAGGTTTATATCTTATGTATATTTTATAGATGGCCTCATATCTATCTGTTTTTCAGCAGATAATGTATTTGCATTAGTTGTACCAGGGTCTTCTACCTCTGTTAAAAAATTGCTGATCACTGAACTTTCTTAACTGTGTGTAAACATAAACAAAATATGACTGTGCCATTTGCTAGTAAAGCTGAGCTGTTCAGGTTGACTGAGGAGCATATATATGGATTAGGAGGAGCATTAAATATCTTGACACCAATGGTAGAAATTTTCCTGGAACTAAAGTGTTCATTTCAGAATAACACAAGGAAATTTTCTGCTGTGGCTGATGAGATGAAGTGCCATAAAAATAAATTAATGCCTTCTTAGGAGATCTCTGTCTCATTCTGAAAAAAACTACAGAAAGAAACAGCCAGTGTTTTTTCTCAGCTGCAAAATACCATGAGAATTTAAGAGACAAAGCGGAAATGGCAAAGTGTGTATATACAAAGAATGCAAATGAATTGCTGTCCTCAGTGCAAAGCCAGCTGAACCTGTTGGCACAGGAGATATACAGAAGAACTTAGCTTAAATACTGTCAAAAAAAAAGAAGTTTGAAGACTACCATCACTGCTGGGCAAGAAAATGTACACCCGGAAACTATTGGCCTAGTCAATAGTAAAACTTCTGCTTCAAAACAAAGTTATTGCATCTCTGGATAAGTTCTTTCAAGAGCTCAAGGACATAAATGGTGGTTTATGTCCATATCTTTTATGGACATAAAAGATGCTGGTGGAATCCATAGTCTGTTCTCAGTAACTTCTTGGCAATCTAACAAACACATCTCAGGATACTGGTAAATGGAGAGAATTTAAAACTGCTGGAGAGTCAGCTTTATGGATCAGTAGCAGTCCTTCTTCAGTGATGAGAAGCAGCAGCTTCAGTGTTTATAATAGGAAACAGAAAGTTTATGATTGAGGTCCATATTTTGTACTGGATATTTTGTTCTGCATTAAATTGCAGTAGATGTAGTTTGGAACTACGGTGCTGTAAGAATAGATCCTACAATGCACTTTATTATATGCATATCAAGAATACAAGTAGTTGTGTTCAAAGATCCTTGACATACTGCTAGCACTTAAACAAGCTAATTGCCAATTTTAAAAGCATCAGAGCTCACCCATGAGAGCTACAAACCAATACCCCATACTGACCTTAAAAGAGGAAAGAGTATGTCATGTTGCTGCCAGCCAAGTCCAGG